AATTGGTTTATACATCAGTGTCAAATGTTTTTACATTTTACTGTTTTGATTTTGATTCACATTTATTTCCTACCTATAAACATTTTTTGTTACACAAAGGTTTAGTGGATGAATGAATATTAGAGATTTATTTGTGAGATTTACAGTACAAACCTCTGTAACTGTTTCTTTATTGATTCAACTTCCTGAGCATTAATCTCAGAATTGGACTGCAATTTAAACCTAGAAATAATAATGTCAAGTTTTATCATTGTTTATACTGTATCATAAGTACTTCTGTAACACAGCACTAATCAGCTACAACATCATTTTATTGCAGTGATCACTTCCCTGAATAGTAGATAATTACTACTGATTGTTGTTTTCTCTATGGAAACTCAAACATGCCATGCACCAATCAACTTCAGTCATTTGTTTGAGTTTAGTACTGTATAGATTATCCTTGATCATCCAATGCGTAACTTGAATGATTTGAATTTCATTTGCGGGCTCTGGTATAAATGTGCCATATTTGACTGCCAAAATGTATGTGATGTATTAAATAAGGGCAGTTGGGAGAATGATTAACTTTATATTTATTAAAGTGAATAATTGAAATAATATTGGAAAATATAATAATACTAATAAAAATAATAACAATCATAATCATCATTATCATCATCAAAATTCCTTAACTTACTTAAGATCGTTTGCAGTGCTAAGGCTTTCAACATACTTCTCATCCCATTCCAGCTCTATAGAAAATAAAATAACTTTAGTAAATTATTATATCTGCAATAATTCCACGATGATTTGATGCACTAACATACAGTATATTTAGTTACTACTATTCAAATCTATGTAGTCATGACTGTACCCATTTAACACAAGCAATCTAAATTTTAGTAAAAACCCATTTCAAAACACATGCCAATTTGAGATCAACTGGTTAAAATTAATGGCCACAGTTATATCACATGATAAAACATTGAAAAGATTGATAAAAGAATGAAATGTCCATAACATTCGTGAGAAGCTGGGTTCTTCTGTTGAGATGCTGCTCCCTACTTTTTGCTATCTACTCAAATCTACAGATTCTCAATATCTTGCTCTGTAACAGGTTCTGTTGTGTAATAAGGACAATGGATTAATTTCATCCTGTGCAGCAAGAAAAAGTCTGAATATTTAATATACTAAGAGATTTTTCATATGTATAACCACTTAATTTAAAAGATATTGTGCACACTTGAATTTTAGCTATACCTGCAGATGGGGTACATGACTATGGTACAATTATAGCAACACTAGGTTGTATTTTATAACAAAAAGTGTGTAATTAATATCACTTTGCTATATTATACATGCCTGACAAAGACTTGCACAGGGAATCAATTTTTTCAGTTGAGTTTTGGAGAATTTCTTTACTTCGTCTAAACTTTCTCTTCAACGAAGGTCCTGTGGAACATTGAAAACATTCCAAAAATTGTAATAAACAAATTGAAAGAAAAATATTAACTATCCAATGAATTATGAAACAATACTATTTCACAAAGGGGAACTTAAACACTAAAAATAAAGTTATAACAAAAACATACTCTCCGAAAAAAGATGTGTATTTTGTTACCACAAATGATTTATTTTTGGATAGTGTCCATTAAAATTATAAATTAATGGTTGGACACTATCTAAAAATACATCATTCATTTTAACAAAATATACATCTTTTAAAAAGTATGAAGAAACATACAAGGCTGTTGTGCATGAAACCTCTAGGTAAAAAAAAAATCAATGAAACATTGTTACATATGGGCATTTAATGCTGTTTTGAACTAAACTGTAGGAAGAAGTGAACACATAACATTTACAGGTTGACTTCTTTTTATTTGTTATATTGAAGTAGCAGTAAATACCCTCAAAAAAGACCCTTTATAGATTAAACAAGCTTTACCAAACTTTTCACGGAGTTGATCTCCGTAGTGCAAAAGACCATCAGTAAGGACATCAATTCTTTTATCTGCTGCCATTTCCTTTGTTATCCTAGAATAGTCACGAAGGAAAGCCCAAAGCCTCTCAGTACCCTCACCATCTGTGAGACCAATTCCATCAATACGTCTTGGTGAATACTTGATCTGAAGAATTAAGAGTTAATTTCAATTTGATACATAGCAATCACAATTAAGTTATTATTATTACCATTAATTAAAATTAGGAATGCTTTGTTACCTGACATGAAGCTTTGTGACCATAACAGTGAAAAATTGGTATACCCAAGGTCAACTGGGTTGGGTTGAACAGTAATTCTTGTGCATTTTTCTAAAACAGAGATTATTGTTATTATTGTTGATATTCACAAGAATAAAATTTAAAAGTTTGTGATCTAACCACACATTATATTATCTAGTATATTGTAATGACAAACACAGAAATTATAGCTGCCTTTGGACACTTCACCCAAAAAGCCTTTATATATAATTTCAATATAAACTGAATGAAATGATATAAAGAACTTAAGAAACACTCCATTAGCTATAACTATTAAATTTAGTAGTAGAAAACAACAATAACAACAACAAAAAATATGTTTACCTTCATATGTGAGGACAATATGCATGCAATGTCATAGAGCATGACAAACTTTAGACTTTTATTGTTCTCGTCAAGAAAGCGCTTAACCTCGTAAAGTGGATAACCAATCCTGAAATGAAACAAAAGATCCAAAGATCAAAAAAGAAGAAAAAGTGGAAAAAATGAAGGTGGCCACACCTTTTCAATACTGATGTATATATGTTGTGGTTTAAATTTAACAATTGGTTCATGCGTCAGCATGCATTCATGGAGATTTAACTGCGCAGGAAGTTTGGAGAGCACGAAAGATGTAGAAGAGTTGCTCGAGGCTGTGCCTCGAGCAACTCTAACATTTTTAGTGCTCTCCAAACTTCCCAAGTGCTCAACTTCTCCATGAATACGCAGCTGACACATGAACCAATTGTTTTATAACATTTTCCACGCTGCAGTTTATGAATAAAGGGAAGAAATTCCCTCTCCTATGCCTCAATGTGTGGTTTATTTTGTTTTGGGAAAGTATTTCGCTACGCTTCAATGATCTCCTCTCGGATTGGTTAAAAACTGACAGCTGCATTCATGCGTGGAAATGAAGCTAGAGTTGAGGAACGAAATGAAATCAGCATTGATTGTCTTCCCCTTTCTCTGGGTTCTTTCTCAAAAAAAAGGTAGGTAGATCTTCATCAACTTGTTCACTTGTTGCCATGTCTAGTTTATTACCAAAGTTTTTCCCGGTTTTTAATGAAAAATGCTCAAGTCCCCTGCAAGAAAAAAAAATTGTCGCGAGGGATTTGACGTCACCAGCATGCATCAGTGGGACATTTGTTCATAGCAGCTCAATAAGACTTACACAGAGAAAGCACGTGCGCTATGTTATAAATACTCTAAAAATTTATAAATTTATTACAACTTCAAAAAGAACATGTAACTCTTTGCAAGTACTTTCATCAATAGATAATAATCATTGATTTTTAAAAAGAGATCAAGATAATAAGAGTAATGACAACACTTCAAGGATAACAGCTAGATAGCCAATGCATTTGTCCATTGCTATTACATAATAATTATTAATTACTGAAATGCACCTTTCACCATGTTTGATGCTATGAAATCCTTTGGGGAAGTCATGTCTGCAGACACGACCAAAGACTCCTTTCTCATCAAAAAGTTTATTCTTTCCTTTTGATCTAATGGAGCTTGCAAGTTCACCAGCATGAAATGAGCTGCAGTCCTAAAAAAAATTAATTGGGTTTTAAAGTGCTTCTACGTGTATACTGGAATATAGAAATATATTGCCAACAACCAACCAAAAAAAAAAATCAATAATTAATATTTGGCATGGCTTGGCATTTGTGTCTACATAAGTTTGTAAATTTGTATCTGCCACTGGTGTGGTGAGAGAAGGCTCCCAGATAATTATCACTGACCATCATAATGAGGTCATCAGATAGCTCCTTGTTATTGGAAAGGAATAGCTACTAGTAAAAGTAAGATATTTGCACAGGACATTTTTAGGCTACTGTTTCCAATGTGCTGTGGCTTGATTTTTCTTTATTAACAAACCTTTGAAACCTCAGAAGCACGTTCACAGTAGCCATTTACAAAATTGTCAACATCATCTTGGTCTGCAAACATCAGCTGTCCATGTTTTGGAACTCCTATTGATTTCAGTCCCTGGCATTTCTTCCTGGAAAGACCAAAGCATGCATCCATGCTCTCTATCAAAATTCCATTTTCCTGCAAGTCAAAAAAATATTGTGGTGCAAAATTACCCAGGTTAAAAAATTGTACCTAGGGAAAAATTAAAATTACCTTAGAAAAAAATTACCTGCAACAAATACCTTTTATACATTTAAATAATTAAATCAAAAGCACTTTAGACACTGTTTCCTAATCTGTAAAGGGAGTTTTCTGTTTTGAATATCATTAAATATACTGAATAAATTAGGTATATGTATAGAGCGTACAATTCAAGGTCTCTGCAATCAAGTGTACATGTAAAATATCATGAATAAAGGAAGATTATTTATTAAATACCTTTGGACAAAGCGGACAAACTGTACCATTCCAGAGGTCTGGGAAGCACTGAGTCATTTTCTTAATTTGATACTTGAAGTACCTACATGTACATGTACAAGATTGTATGTTCATAACGATAAGAAAGTAATATTGGTAGCCATGTATAATACGTTGGGGTATCATGCTAGTCATGTATAATAGGGCTAGCTATGACTACCCATGTAGTATTGGGTAGCCATGACTATGGCTATATGGGTACATGATAAGAAAATATTGGTAGTCATGACTACATGGTACCATATGTCATAATAAAAATTAGTATGCAATTAATTACCTGTACTCTTCAAAAGATGCTTGATTTAGGAGTTGATATATTGAAAAAACCTGTGATAACAAAAAAGTTTAAAATTTCAATGAGTTCAAAATTTATTCATCCATGTATATTAGCTATAATTTGAGAGAGTACTTGTTTGATGCTAGTCTTATAATTAGAATTCACTTCATGCTTAAAATAAATTACACTTGATAAAAAGCCATTATGTTGTTTCTTTAAGAAACATCTTTTCTTTGGCAGGAATTTCCTTATCTTCTAGCTAGGGAGTGATTAAAATAATGTACAACATGCATGTATTCGTGGGATCATAATGCACATGATGAAAGGTTTCATCAACATGAAAAACTACTGGATAATTAGGCAGTGCATTTACTGCTCTTACCATTCTTGGTTGTAACGAGGGCCTTAACAGTTCAACGGCTTCACAAAATTCTCTGAGGGAAACTTTGCAGTGCAAGAACACTGTTTCCATCAGATCCATTAAATAAAATGTGAAGGCTGTGGCAGGTTTATCAGGAGATGCTGGCCACAAGTTGTTCTTTATTAGTGTTGTGGTTGGGTGATAGCAGTTACAAAACCAAACTTTTTTGAATACTGATTGCCTACAATTAAAAATAAAATGATAACTGAATGAAAACTTGAAAGGAATGTTATTTATTTCAAAATGAATTCCAAAAAGATTCTATTATAATCCAAAAAATAATGTGCTGCTTAATCTATGGAATGCAGCATATATGAAGATGATACGGTCGTCATCAGTGTTGCATATATCTATACTAATCAGCAGACCAGGACAAGAGTACATGACTACATTATCTTTAGTTAATAAAGTACCTTTTAGTTTCTTCAATTACAGATTACTATGTGCAAAGCTAAACATTCTCATACCGTGCTCATCAATACACACAATGTCTCTTGCTTCAGCAGATCCACAGTTGCATTGGAAACCTAATGGTAATCCGTTGACCACATAAGGGGTGAACATCCCCTCCTGAAATTAATTAAAATATACAATAACATTACTTACTTTTAGTAGAGACACCAGCAATATATTAATAAATAGTAATTATTATATGGCTGTGTCTCACGAAGACTGGGAACTACCAAATTCACAAATTTGATCAATTGGCTGAAATCAATGTTGAAAGCGGTCTAGATTTTCTCATCTAGACCAGCATCTAGACCAGTCTAGGAAAAACAGGTAAAAAGTATATAAAAAAATGGCATATAAGACACAGCCATGTAATAAACATCTTATTAACCGAGCTAGGTCAGTCTGTATGACAGAATCTTGACCTTGGTCACTGGTACAGACCTCACTGTATTCGGTCTGTACTGGTGATCTCGGTCTCGATTCTCCCATACAGACCTCCCGCTCGGTTAATAAGAATAAGAACTACATGAAAAGGGGTACAATGAATATTTTGATTCATTGCACTACAGACAGCATGACAGCTGAATTGACAATATACTCTATGTTACACAACAACAACAACATTTTTATTTCTACCTTGAATTGATACAAGCTCTAAACATTTTTAGCGAAGAAACAGTTTGTAATAGTTTCTCTACTGAGCTCCATATTTTTGTACCTATGAATTTGATAATGAATTTGTCATAATTTGTTTTTGCTTTTGGAAGATACAAGTTTTTCCTTGCAGCAGATCTTGTTTGACAATTACACCAGGTTTATATTCATATAATTTTTATTTGGATGAAAATTAAAACTTTTGTTCTTTTTTAACTACTTTATTCATATATTCCTTAATAACTGATATGCAATAGATCAGCTTACAAAAAAGGGGCGAGAATAATAATGTCAAACAAAAGTTGGTCCCACAGCAGTTCGATCGGAAACCTCTCGGAGCAGAGTAGAGAACCAACAAACTCAATCCACTTATTACATTTCGAAACTCACCTTCCATTTTTCCAAAACATGAAAATGGTTCCTCACACTGTGCAAAATATTAGCACATTCAAGGCAGAAGTACTGCTTGGGGCCACAATATTGACATCGCAGTGTTGCTGGTTCTTGGAGGCAGTAAACACATGTTGTGTCAGTCGGAAAACAGCATTCCTCCACATAAGAATCAAACAACTGTCTTCTTATGTTGTCCCATTTCTGGATGTTGGCGATATGTCTTTTCTCGTACGAAGATAGACCAGAACCGCTCTCACTAAACTCCTCAAACGAGAAAGGTTCGACGATCTCAGGTTGTTCATTTTCAACTGAACAGGTTCGTGGGGTACGAAGCGTGGATTCCGCCGTTAGCGAAAAAGTTTTCCTCGATTTCTTTCCACTTTTGTCTACAAAAGTAGCGTCGAAAGAAAACGGCTTAAGCCGCTTTCCGCTCATTTGAAGTTATGTAAATAAGCCACCGTCCATAAAACACACGCTGGATAAAACAAAGGAGAAATAGCTCTTGGTGATAGAACGACCGAGAGGAAATCTGGGAATGTTTGACAACGAGAATGCTAAGAATGTATTTTGAAGTGGGCTGAGCCCAGCAAGGGAAATTTCTTTCTCCGGGGTGAGCCCATTTCCTCCGAGTGAACCGGGTGTTCAATGATGAACAAATAACAAAGTGTGATAGGTCTGATAGTATTTTTATGCTTGTATGGTTCTGAGAAGCTTTATCCTAGAAGTAAAATAAAGCGGCTAGTAGTTTTTTCGTGTCTCAGTTTGTCTGAAATTGTTATCGGCCCAATGAAGCTTCAAAGTTATGTCAATTTACGAATGTTTTCACGTGTTGTATTACGATTAGCCGAGATTTGTTTGTTTCGGTTGCCATATAATCGCCTTAGTACAATACATTGGTCACAGGAAGAAAATATTTGTGCAATGAAGCATACCACGCAAAAACAGAAACATTATCGTAACTAAAACCAATTTTCTATAAGGTGAAAACGAAATTCACTGAAATCTGACCATAGCAGTCGACATCTCGCTGTTATGTGTTGTTAAAACTTTCGATCATCGCACCAACCCGGTAATAATATCGCTGATTTTTTGTTATTTCTTAACTTAACCGTGCACAGGAAACACGCTGACAATGGCTTGCGACAAAAGCTTCTTTGTTAATAAAACGTCGTTTTGATAACAACTGGAAAGAGACACGTGTAGATTCCGCTTTAACTAATTAGTAGTCAAGGTGGTTTTTGCAGTGGATAATCCGGTATTTCAGTATCGTTTTGTAAAAAGAGTTTAATCTGACTGGCCTCTCACTGTAAGCTTTCTTTCGCCCCAAGTGAACTCATGGATTTAATGCTACGAAAATGTCGTCGGTTCATGCGCTAGCATTTCACGTACTGCTAATAGTTTCCGGCTCTTTAAAATAGACCGCAAAACGAGCCTCTAGCTCGCAGAGATGAGCTTCCAAAAGAAATATTTTTGCGATCCAAATAATCCAGTGGTAAGCAAGCACTGAGAAGTTTAAAAAAACACAACATCACAGTAAGATTCCGGCCGCGTCGGGTTTTCATGGATCAGAGATCCCAGAGGCGAACGCTTCAGATCACCCAGTGATGTTACACGCGCCTACGAATTGGCCGTTTATGACAAGTCCTGGGCGTTAAGAGATACACCCTACGCGTACCGATTTCCCGGAGGGTTAAACGGTATGTTATCTGGGCTAATTCTATTTTGCGAAACGAAACGATATTAAACCAGGCGAGATGTTAAAAAAACTAAATAAATAATGCAGATATATTCTGTAAGAAGGTAAACATAACTTTTACACGGATTTTGGAGTGATCGTTAATTGACAAGGAGGATTTCATTCATTTCGCAAAGTAGTAATTTAAGAGGAGTTACTATTTTGCGAAATCGACTAATAGTCCATCTCGTAAACTAGTATCTCTCCTAAAAATTACTCTTGCGAAATATATCTTAATAAAGAAATAAGAGGAGGCCAAAATCTTTGGTGAAATACCAATTTGTACTGTTTAAACGTTTTTTTGTGACACGAAAGAGGTCACGTTTTCACCGCAGGATGAAAATGGTCGATTTTGCAAAATAGTAACTCTTTTGAAATCACCACTTTGCGAAATGCCGTGATTAAAAATCCTTCTTATCAATTGACGATTACTCCACAATCCTTATGAAAGTTATCTTTACCTCATTACAATATATATCATTATTCCTTTAGTTTCGTTGTATCTCACCTCGTTTCGTTTCTTTTCGTTTCGCAAAATTGAATAAGCCTGTCATCTGAGCAGCAAGCTTCGTGCACGCCTTTGGTCGAAAAGAAAAGACGAGGTAAGCTGGGCCTGTTTGGCTTATCTTTGCCGCTCCAACTGAATGCAAAGCTAATAATAGTGGCATACTTTACCTTGGAAAGTAAACAATCGCCAGAATAGATAAAATTTCAATCGCTCAAAATTCTGAAAGACTAAATTTCAATTTTGAGTCACACAGCGATTTGACAAAAATCAACCCAAAAAAAAGATACAGTGAATACGCAATGCCCATTTAAAAACTTTTGCTGACATTCCAAGGTTAAATTATACGACAAAAAAGTACTTACATCAATGAACAAATTGTTCTTACATTTCGGAAGGAAATGAAACCGATGTTCAATGAAGACTTTGACCCCGATTCAAAGTCGACGATATGTCAAACGAGATCCAATTCAACCCACCCACCTTAAATTACATAATCAAAACGGACTATCTCCCGCGGAATTGTTTGTCGGAATTACCTGCAAATGTTTATAATCAATGCAATAATCTTTAGTGTACTTAGATTTTTACAAAAAGGGCGCAATTAGAATGGCGCGCGCTTTCCAAGAGTAAAGTGTATTTACAAACGGAGATAAGGTATTTTGATAGCCCCTGTAGGAATCTAGCTGTTGACACCCCTGAAATACCTCATAAATCTGCTTGAGTGGTGCCCCTTTTTACTGGATAATCTGATCATGGATTTCATCAAGTTCAGAGCAAAATGTAAATGCCGCATAATTTGTTAACTGCTTCAGCTTTTATTTAAGTAAAATGAACACTTTTACGAGGCGATGATATTTCTGAAAAAACTAAAAAACTTGCCGTAAATATTTTTGACGACGTTTCGACGTCCCTTCACTGTCATAAGAAAATGAAAGTGTTTCATTCCATGCGTTGATACTTGCGTTTGCATTTGCTTTGAGGTAATTCACACGTGTAAATCCTTCCATTTGCAATTTCGCTCGCGTTTGCATTTGCATCACACGTGTGAATCAGGCTCAAGGCCAAGAGGGTGAGGCTAATCCTGACGAGAGTGCTTATTAGAGAGTGGGCGCCTATTGAGAAAATAGGTAAACAAAGATATCTATGCAAATATTTTTATTTTTAAAGTATCAATCGAAAGTGGCTCTTTAACTTTTAAATTCTTAGTTTAATAAAATCCTTCTCTGTTGTCGACTTCGATCCTAAGCAGGGTGTGATTTTCAAATGTAATCTCTTCAGAAGGAAATACTTGTAGGACACAAGAGATGGCTGGATTTTGATCATGAAAATGCTAAGTCGCCAAAGTCTCAAATAAACTTACCTACCTGTTTAAAAGCGCGGGAACAATGAGGCCGCATAAATATTAGCATTTTCTGTCTAGACTTTTGTTTCAACGACACAGTTTTGATTGAATGATAAGTCAAGTTGGTAAAAGGCCTGAGACCAAACTTTTATCAAGAGCAACGAGCGTTGGGTGGAAAACTTTATACGGCTTGTCGAGCATCTGCTGGCTCGTTCTCGAAACATTTTTCACATCATGCTGACAATTCAAGGCTTTTTCGTTCAATTCGTTATAATTCTTCAGTTGATGATCCTGTATTTCTTGATGGAAATGGGAAGAGCTTTGCAGTGGAGGGTTACGGCAGAAGTTCGCGAGCAGCATGCAGCGAGAAGACCGCAGTTGAATAGAGACGGAGACAGAAGGAGGAGAGGAGGGGAGAGCGCAAACTACAGCGTCCTCACAAACAGAAATCGGCTTCCCACAGAAAATGATGAACGCCAGGGCTAAGAAACCAGGGTAAGCTATTTTAGCCCCATTTTCTGAATCAGTTAGATAAGCTTTCTACAACGGAATTTGATATGAAGATCTAAATTCCAACCCAATATTTTCACTTTGTTTCCCGCCACTCGGCCCTGCTGTGCGAAGTCCTGGCGAAAAGTTAGTAATTTATCAGGGTTTTTAGATGGCTTTTGACATTTAAAATAGTTACTTTTCTCTTTCCGCTATGGAAAAAAGCTTTTTTAAGTACTTCTTTCTTTAGCTTTCCTGTTCATTTTCATTTTTCCTGTGCAGGTCCTTGGAGCGATGTCATATTGAAGTCGGAAAACACGTTTTGAGAAGAGAGATGATATCTAAATTCACGCTCGCGATGATTGAGGCTAGCTTTTTTTACTGTATGATTGAGGCTATTTTTTTGCTGTATATTTATAAATGTCGTAATTGAAAATGCAAAGAGATAGGTAGCAAAACAATTCAATGATGAACAAATAACAAAGTGTGATAGGTCTGATAGTATTTTTATGCTTGTATGGTTCTGAGAAGCTTTATCTTAGAAGTAAAATAAAGCGGCCAGTAGTTTTTTCGTGTCTCAGTTTGTCTGAAATTGTTATCGGCCCAATGAAGCTTCAAAGTTATGTCAATTTACGAATGTTTTCACGTGTTGTATTACGATTAGCCGAGACTTGTTTATTTCGGTTGCCATATAAACGCCAGAGGACAAAACATTGGTCACAGGAAGAAAATATTTGCGCAATGAAGCATACCACGCAAAAACAGAAACATTATCGAAACTAAACCCAATTTTCTACCTGGTGAAAACGAAAGTCATTGAAATCTGACCATGGTAGTCGACATCTCGCTGTTATGTGTTGTTAAAACTTTCGATTATCGCACCAACCCGGTAATATTATCGCAGATTTTTCGTTATTTCTTAACTTAACCGTGCACAGGAAACACGCTGACAGTGGCTTGCAACAAAGCTTCTTTGTTAATAAAACGTCGTTTTGATAACAACTGGAAATAGACACTTGTAGATTCCGCTGCGGCTAATTTGTAGTCACGGTGGCTTTTATAGTGGATAATCTGGTATTTCAGAATCGTTTTGTAAAAAGAGTTTAAGCTGACTGGCCTCTCTGTAAGCTGACTTTCGCACACAAGTGAACTCGCGGATTTAATGCTAAAAAAACGTCGTCGGTTCATGCGCTAGCATTTCACGTACTGCTAATAGTTTCCGGCTCTTTAAAATAGACCGCAAATCGAGCCTCTAGCTCGCAGAGATGAGCTTCCAAAATAAATACTTTTGCGATCCAAATAATCCAGTGGTAAGCAAGCACTGAGTAATTTAAGCAAAAACAACATCACAGTAAGATTCC